GGTTCGCTGCTGCTCCTGGATGGGAGAATATTACCGTATGTCGAGCGTGAAAATAAACAGTGAAACTTCAGACTGATCAACCTCTTTGGGGCTGCGGCATGCATTCTATGTGCTTTCGTTCAGGATCGTAGTGGCTCACTGGATGAGGATAGCCTATACAATACCCTTAGGGAAGATAGACGATGTACGAGTCGGTGTTCTTATCCTCCCAGACGCAACTGGTACCAGTTGAAGGTAGAAAGCGTGGCTGGACTGGGCGGGAGGCGATCCAGGATTTGATTCGCGCACAGTGAGAGACACCTGCCATTTCACCACCTCTGCCCGTATGCCATGTACTGTCCTTTAACTGAGTTGTTCAGAATTCGTTCTTATTCGTACTGGGAGATCATGGCCATCGTTTCGATTCGATTCGCCGAACTACCATAGGACGGATCGAGGAGCGTTTTCCCTTCTTTTCCATGCACATACCAGATGATCTTCAACGGAAATTTCCACGACTCAGCAAGACAGTCGAAGAGAACACACAGGTAAGAGCTAAGTAATACCGTACGATTCTATCCGTACAACGCTAAAAGCAGAAACTGCGCTGTTGGGGGACAGGACATGGCGGGAAATGCCAGTTTACAATTTCCGATTTCCGGTCGTTTCTCCTGACATGGAGATTCTAGGAAGAAGTGTTAGAAATTGCTACATCAGTGCTTCCGATTTCCGATCTGTGCACGCCAATGAGATGATAAACTTCGCATCTATTAACTTTTGGCGCAGCTCGGCTTGGTGGGTGGCCCAAACTGGCACCCAGCGAGGCTTATACAGGCCACTTTTAATGGCGTGTAAGTTGGTGCAACCAAGGTGGTTTACGTGTTTAAATTTGCAGCTTCACAAGAGCTTACAGTTTGGTTCTTAGGTACTGGCAGAGGACTTAGAAGTGCCACTCAGCCCTTTCAAGCCGAACAGCACCAAGCACATCATTTCTTGTAGCTCTTCCGCTTCCTACGCTCCATAACTGATCCGTTAAGGTGCTGACGTCATTCTGGGACTTTTACGCGACAATGCAAGACATTCGGCAACTCGGTCAATCTAATAAATGGGAACATCTCTATGGAAATAGAACTGGTTCCCGTGCAAACGTTTTCAAGAAAGGATTAAGCCTACTTCGACCAATAACGGTATGTTTGGAGCTCAGAAACATTTACCCTTAAAAACTACACAGGAAAAATGAATTGAAGACTTCTATTAGTAGTTTGTAATAGCCCCTTAACGAAAGGTCGGCTCAGTAAAGCAATGGAACAGCGAAAAAAAATAATAGAAGGACCGCGAGTTCATGAAGTTTTCTCCTACAAATTTGAACAGAAAATGAATTTTAATGGAGAACGAAGAATACAGTTTTGTTCGCTGCGGATGATGGGGCATGTCAGAAAGGGCTGGACTTGCTGACCCGTTAGCTCATTCTCCACTAGTTGTTGAAGCAGGCAGGCGACACCATTTGGTGGAAAACAACTTGTACGAATGGTATGATACAGTGTTTTCGCCCTCTGGAGGAAAGGAAGAAAAGAGGCACAATTCGGGGACGGGAGGGGCATTTGCACTTTTGATACTTCCCATCGACGTGTCGACCCATCTAGGCAGCCTCTTCTCGAGTTGACAGGTTTTACCATGATGGCTTGACGAGCTTGCTCCAGCTTCACAAGAGTTCACAGGTTTCACCAGAGTGAGACTTGTAAACCGGAACTAGTGAAGCAACGAAAGTGCAAAATGCCCCTCCCGTCGCAGAACTGCGCCAGGAAAAGAAGCGGGCAGGCGCCGCGCCAAACCCATCTCTCCTTGACACGCCCCACCATCCACAGCGAACACGACTGTATACGACTGTTTAATGCTGGTCGTTTTCTCCCCGTCAAATAGGAGAACGTGAAGTTACGTCTCATAAGAAGTTTTTTAGGATCGAAACTGCAGAGAAGCTGGTATTCCGGACGAGTTATGCATGTGCCGTAATGAAGTCATTGTGGACATAAATGAGAATATAGTAAGTTCATACAAGTTCCCAATCGGAAATCGGAAATCGTGACGATACTGGTACGGCATAGCATAACCAAGCATTTTTTTTCAGGTTAGGCAACTTGCGAACGAGATCATACGCCATCTAAACACCCTTCTGGCGCCATCCGCTCAGTGTGCCAAGTTGACCTTGGCAAAAATCCTACATGCTACCGTAATCGAAGACGATGGCGACGCGATCCGTGCTGAGACACAGTACCGGGTTACTATTGAGGCAAAACCGTCAGGTGCCCTACTGGAGGCTCTACTTAAACACGATCGGGCTCACGATACCATCAGTATTTACCGTAACGTGAATCGGGTCAACGCATACGGTAATCAGTCTACGTGTGTATATGAACAAGAGTTGAGAAAGTTTTGTTACTGTATTTCTGGTCAGGACCAATAGAGCTAGGAGGGCACTCCGTTGTTGGAAAAACTGCCATGCTCTCTAATTAGGAGTCAAGTCACAAAGCGCATACTTTCCACACGCGCTGAGCCCCGTCCATAGTTTCGCAACATTCGCCCGAGAAACCTGAGGGTTTTTTTGAACAGTCGACAGTTGAAACTCGAGAAAAAAAGAAACAGAGAAGGAGGCTTACCTTCAACTGATGAGCCGTGAAGTTCAATTACCACGTGTAGTTGCCCGTGCGGTTCAAGGTCCACCTATAATGTCATTGGCTGAATAATTTAGAAACTTGAAAGCTAAAAGAATATTGGAGATGCGGGCGCCAACATCACCGTGTTACATCTATGCCTTTTTGTCTGTGCCCTCTCATCGGATGGGGAAATCTTGCACAGTGGTTTTCGCTTCAGACGCTGGGGAGTGTCAGGAGAGCAGGGTTTGGCGCGACGGCGGCTCGCTTCCCACCATCTGTTGTCATTTTCCCATATCAATGACTGGCGGAGAACGGGCTCGTGCCGTGCCAAATACCCCCTCCCCCGTCTGATGACCTTTCGTCTTAGCGAAAAAGGGTGATTTTACCGTTCTGAGGATGCGGGGAAAGGTGACAGGGCAAGACGGGACAACCCTGCCCCTCCCTCAACGTTCCCACTAACGCTGAAATAGAATCAAAAAATCCTTCAAAATCACCTGGTGGCACCAGTCCGAGGTTGAAGCTAGCAGTAATGGTAAAAAAATGGTTTAGGTCCTGACGACGCTCCACCTTGTTATTGTTATCCATCTTACTATTGTTATTCATCTAACCATGCATAATAATAAAGTTGTTAACACGTTTTTATTGATTGACCAGTAGCGTGATGAACACTTCGTCGGCCCGACGCGCGCGACGAAATCCGAAGTGCGACAAACGGCACGCAATTTCGCTGCGTCAGGCCGCACGCGGCATACTGATGTATTCTGGCGAGCCATTCCTCCTATGCTGCCTTTCTCGCTGTCTTTCCTTACTAATCAATTAATCGATAAACTCACCCAGATATCATTAGTGCTGCCTATTTTGAGATCGTCGAATGGTATCCTAGTGTTCGCCACGAAATCATCTGGTGGCATCACACAGTTATGAAAGACGGTGAAACCGATAGCTCGACCAGAGTGCACGTCGTCCTGAAATCGATTTATCGTTCATTGTCGCTCAGTGTCGCTAAGTGTCGCTTATTGTCGCTTGTAGCGGTGTATTTTGTCGCTAATGTGTCACTGTGTCTGGCTCAATCGTGACCCCCCTCGTGTTGAACCGACAGCGACACACGGAGATGCGCTAATCAGGACCGGGCCCCGCCCATATGGCAATCGTGGAATTTGCGTGTCACTGGTCTCAAATAATCGTTCAAATAACGAACCGCGACGAATTCTTCGTTCCAACGTGGTTCATTGGTTTTCGGCCGAACCAACGTTTTGCCAACATGGTACTCATC